CAACTCTCCTTTTTGCCTGTCTTGCTGCAAGAGAGCGTTGCTTTTGGCGCCACCAGGTTGGACGGACACTTCACCACCTCTGCAACAACAAATACTGCACTTAAGTCCATCAACGAACAAGAAACCATTTTATAAGCATCCAATAAGGCTAGGGTGATTTAGTAAAGTTGAAAGGCATTTACCTAAGAGATAATTATTAGATAATTATTCTAAATGTTTCTTCATCAATATTTAAAACTGATTAAACATTGTATTCATATAATGTAGAAATTAGGGCCATTTCTAGTGATGACTAGAAGATTCTTCTGAGCCGTTCATCTACTCAAAACAGAGGTGTTTCTATGGAAACGTACATATACAGAGTGAAAACCCAACATTTCACTTTTAACTGGAATTCAAACATGTCAAATTGGCGCTTTTGAAATAAATAATGTTGCCGGCTGGTAGTTAGATGTTTTGTGAAATTTTTTTAAATAAAAATATATAATATATATATTAAATCAATTACATTGAATGTAATTCCCAATTATATCCCCCCCAATTATTTTTTACACAACAATACCCAGCAAAACATGGAAATCTACACTGTGTATTTGGTGTAATGTGTGTATTGGCCAGTAGGTGTGAGTGTTGTCATACACGTACCAATGCAGTCCTTCTTGTTCCAGTGCAGTTTGTATCCAGGTGGGCACGTACACTCGTAGCTGCCCAGTGTGTTCAGACAGTAATACTTACAGCCACCACGGTTTATACTGCACTCATCGATGTCTGCAAATCAAAACAAAGGACACTTCACGACACTGTGATACAGTGAATGTTTATTCATACTCTTCGCAATGATGCCAATGATTTGGGAAGTTCCGAAATTGTTCCTTATTGTAAAGCTGTGGAGCTCTGCAACATTCTCAAAAAGAGGAGAGAACATGGTCAATAAATGAAAGTTCTTTGGAGCTAACAAATCAGAAAAGCTCATCGGAAAAAAATAACTTTTTTTTTTTTGGTTGAACTTTTCCTTTTGTGCTTGGATTTGTGCCCTCAAGAAGGTTGAGAGTTGCCGGGGTTAAAGTTCCAGTGGTGTCGAACAGGCTAACCCCTGCTTACTTTCATATGTGAGAAGGGCAGTAATTGTATGCAAAAAACAACAAAACTAAACTAAAACCCTCTGTACCAATAAAATGCCAAATATATTTCTGAATTTTCCTAAACACACACAGCATGTAAGTGAACACTTCAACATTTCCCCATCAAGACGCGCGCTCCTTGTAAACATGTGTTTGATCTGAAACACATTTTAGAGCAGAAACAATGCTAAACCATGTAGCATCAACCAGACCGAACTTGTGGAAGTCCACAGCTGTCAGGAGGCAAAAACTATTGTCTATTTTTGCTCCTTAGCAGTCTAAGACAAGTTCTGAGCTTCTACACAGGAGCTGTTTTCTAAATCCTCCATTTCTAAATCCAGCTCTGAACTTTCATTCAACATTAATCATAATTTCAAAGTCCAAATTCACATTTTATTACACAGAATCAGAGATGGTATATGAGCAATAGGAGATTTAAAAAGATATGCGAAAGATGTGCTTTGCCAAGCATTAATGGAACACTTACTGGATCTTCTCAGAACATAAATAAGATGTACAAACCTAATGAGGACCACAAAATTCCAGATCATGACAGACCAGGACTGACTTTAAATGGACCAATAAAAACATCATCTTGTGGGACAATTTATGTCAGGTCATGCTGGCACAATTATGGACATCCATAGACATCTACGTCATTCATGGACACCTCTGTCCAGTATCCCTTTGCTGTCCATGGGCATCTCTGTTGTTCATGGAACATGGACCAACTCATGTGTCTTATATGTGTCATGAGAAAAGGAATGTTTAAGCTAAGTTTGATTTAAGCTTTAAATCAAACTCAGAGAAAAGGCTTCTTGGAAGGTTCCTTAAGGGTGCATTGGATACTTAAGGGTTCTCTCCTAAAAAGGTTCTATGTGGACCACTTTCTGATAAGGCCAATTTCAGCAACTGCAGAAACCTTTAGATTTCTTAGAGTGTAGGCTGTTTCAGGTAAATTAATCAAAGAAACTTCTGAGAAAGAGATACAGTGTGGGGGTTGGCAGCATCTTCTCCAGCATAATTTGAAAGCGTCAGTAATTGTTTTTCCACCTTGACTTGATTGGACTTTCGCAGAACCCAGGCCAAAGGTTTGTGTGCTTTCACTGGCTTCCATTTGCTCATCTGTGCCTCTAAGCACGTTTTTTTCCCCCAAAAAGGGAAAAAGTAAAACCACAATCACTCTCTAAAACACAGCAAACCAGATGGGAGCTGAATAAAAAACAAAGAGCGAAAGAGACAGAGAGAGCTGAGTTTGACTAAGTGGTTTTGAAGTACAGGCAGACCGAGAAGAAGACATAAAGAGTCTTTAGGCATATCAAAGGCTTTGCTCTTAGTTAAAGCCAGAGAGGAACAGAATAGCAATGAATCTGAATTTCGTTAATGAATAAAGCTCTCGTTTGCTAGGCTGGTCTGGTTTCCCTTTTCTTTGGGCCATTTTCCTCTCCTCTCTCTCTCACCCCAGATTCGAGCCGTCTCCAGACTAGAACCTTTGACTTTGCATTTCCTTTTTTGGCCTTCTGCATTAAAGACGCTCATTAATCTCAGAGAACAGAGGACCAGAAAGGAGGGAAGAAGGAGAGCAAGAAAGAAAGAAAAAAACAAAACGCTTATTTGATTGACACCTTCATTGACCTTTTGTGTCAACAATTGTTCGTGCCCCTGAGACCCCCAGAACATGCCTCTTAGGCTGAACTGATTCATGCAGACAGAGAACGGGGTGTTTGTGGGGATCATTTATTATTTTCCTTTACTTAGTTAGCATTAATTACTTTGCAGAGGACACTGAGCCAGACAAAGATTGAGTGGCTAAGTGATATAATATCGTGACAGTGTATTGCAATGTAACAGATTCACTGTGTCTGGGTTATCTAAATGAAACTCACTCATTTTCGACTGCTGTGTTACTTGCTGTAATTTTTCAATCTAATCCAATCCTATCCTAATCTACATTTACTATTTTATGCTATACCATCCCATGCATACCACACATTCCAAGCTTATCCAACCCTAATCCCTTAAATCCGTCCAATTCCAACCCAATCTAAGCAAAAAGCTGAGCTGTTGTGGGTTAACGGCTTGGCGTTCTGACGGTCTCAGAAGTCGGTAATTATCACAGTGGGGTAGTGGTGGCTCAGTGGTTTGTGAAATATTGAATCAGTGGTTACGTTTTGGGCTACTGATCATAAGGTTATGATCTGAAACCCCAGCAATGCCAAGCTGCCACTCTTTGGCCCTTGAGCAATACTCTCTGCTCCAGGTTCTCCATTTCATGGCAGACCCTGCACCCTGAGCCCAGCTTACTACAAAGCTATGCAAAAAATAAATAAATAAATAATGTGACAATACAATACAATGTTGTCACTAGTACAGAACCTTAACAACCCCATGTAGGTGAGGCTTTCAGATCTTTGACAGCAGAACACAATCAGCTGATCAGATGCAAACTCCTGAGCACTAGCACTTACTTCAACCATTGTGGTAAGTTGCAGATCTCTCTGTTCTTTCTACAAGCATCCAGAACTTGCTTCTGGTCAGTTGGTGCAAACCTGCAAAAGCCTGAAATGTGAATTCTGCATGCCAGATATTTGCTACATCTGCATCCCTTTCTCAACCGAACAGATTCCTATAGGAAAGAAGAAGCCATTCCTCTAGCGTTCCATAATGCTGCCTCTTATCTAAAGGCTTGTCGAGTGTGGACAGAAAAGCAGAAATCCTCATTCATCACATCAGGATCTCTTAACATCTTAACAATGCCTGAACAGCCCTGCCTCCATGCCAGGCCACCTCCCTGCCTTCCTGTACCCGCTCTGTAACTGATTCACATGCGATTAGAGGCCATCACCATTCGAAATACTCTTAATCCACCCATAAACACGTGTTTCTATCGTGACGCCTTCAACAGCACCTCGCCTCCCTTCCTCTGAACCGCAGGAACGCATTCCTCCTCTCCAGAGTTACATCACCCAGTAAGACTGTGGTTAGGTGGTTACTTCTGAATGGCACGAACAGGGTGATTTCAGAATTTCTATGTTAATATACATACAGTCCACTCTGAAAATAGTGGATTCACAAGCCCAGATTGGAATTCAAAAGAAATACAGAGATGAGACAGAAATGTTCTACCTTCTACCAAAGTGATGGCCAATGTTCGAATCAACATCATGGCTTGGGTTTCTGGAACAGGCTTGATAATCTTTATTGATGATGTAACTCATGATGGTATCAGCAGAAGTAATTCAGAAGTCTACAGAAACACTCTGTCTGTCAGTTTACAGACACATGTAAGCAGTCTAATTGGGAGGAACATCATGCAGTTGCTCAACAACACTGCCAACTCAACAAAGGACTTCATCAGAGGAGAAAGTGGACGATTTTAAACTGGCCAAGTCAATCCCCAGACCTTAATCCAACTGAAGAGGTGAATTTATTTGGATCACCCTGAAACAATTTCCCTGATATCAAATCCTAGGTGTCGGATCAGCACATTTTGCATTGCAGGAATGTGTCTCTGCCCTTAAGCAGTCACACTCTGCAACACGTCTTTCTGTTGAAATGGCAAAACACTGATGCGAACAGCTCTTTAACGCGCCAATATATTAATACGGCTACTATAAATACTGTGTGTATTTTCTTTTCCATACTCAAATCAGATTCAGACTAGCCCTAAACGTTGAAATCAAGTCATCATCATAGCAAGACCAAATCTCAAGCCACATCTACACTACTCTAAATTAAGGACTGTTAAGTCATGTGTGTTAGAGTAGAAAAAACAGTACTTTACATTTGCTATACGCCCTTATCAAGAGCGACTTACACTTATTTAATTTATACAGCTGATGCTTAAGTGCCTTGCTCAAGGGCCCAGAAGTGGCACCTTGTGGTGCTGGGAGTTGAACTCAGGACCTTCTGATCAGAAGTCCAACACCTTCACCACTGAGCTACCACTTCCCACTTAAGATGATAGGACAGGATAAGACTGGATGGTGTGGGATGGTGTGGGATGGGATAGGACAAGATGAGACAGGATAGAATTGGATGGGATCGGATTGGATTGATATAACAGCCTTGTGAAAAAAATGTAATGTATTGAGTTACCTCCACAGTGAGCGACTCCATACAGGACATAGCCTTTGTGACATTGACACTCAAAACTGCCTGGAGAGTTCACACAGGTGTGGTCACACGCACGGTCAAATGAGCACTCATCTATGTCTGTTGAGAGAGAGATAGAGTTGTAATTTATTTTAAAAAATTGGTGTTATCTTTAAATCATCAGTAAACAATTTCCAGATTCATCATCTACAATAATCCACCACCCTGACCGCTCATTTATTTGCTAAACCGTTCATTATGCTAATTTATTCTAATTACCATATAATAATTTTTAATGAAACATCTCAATGTGTCTTTACACTACAGGCACTTACTCGTCTAAGCCAAATAAGTGACATCTTGTTTTTTTCCTCAGGACATATGGAAAAGATTTACCTTCTTGGAAAATGAACATGCAGTAAAACTGTCTAGACGTCAGTGAGTCGATCAGTGTGCCAGACTATGTACTCTTCACATGTCTTTATATAGTAAGAAATCCACCCATCTGTTTTCTTAAAGCAAAGCCAATTTTAATAAACAATGGTAATTTAGAGGCTAAGATTTAGCCACAGTGACTGAAAGATTGGACTGCCAGGGAACAGTCTGGGCCACTGGACAAGATCAGCTCTTAACCCTCGTGGGCATTATTGTTACAATCACCATATTTGGGAGGATCTCGCATAGATAGACAGGATTTATGGGCAGAATTGATATTCTTTAATACAATAAATAACCAAATTTTTGTGGGTCAGCTACTAGTCTACTTGTGTTCTCATCATGCTAGACATGCTAGATTGTAGATTGAACTCTCATTTGGAAGACCCAGGTAAAAACATTGTACTCTGGGGTAGTGGATTGGGGCAGGCTAATTAAACAATTGTTGAAGATGAAATTGGTTATACAAGCCACAGGCCATCAGAATTTGGGAAAGAAAATTAAACATTAATGTCCCTAAAACAGTAATAAACCCTTAAACATTTTGTATATACAAGCATCTCTAAAAAAGGTTTGGCCCTTGCTGAATTTTACAAACATGTATAAAATACATTTTACAAATGGTTTCTGAGTTATTGAAAGCTCAAATATGCATACTACTGGGTAGCGTAACACAACAAACCAGACCTGTAACATTAGCAAGCGGTTAGCTTAAGACAACCAATACCACAACATTCAGGTATTGGTGCTTAAAAAAGTTGAGTTGATTTTGGACAATTATACAACATTATACAGTTCATTCTTACTCTTATTCAGCGTTGTGCTGTCTAGACCAAACCGCCTGTGATATATAACACCCTTTCTTCATTTTTCCCTGCCCCGATCTCTCAAGCTACATCAGAAAAGTTTTATGAGCTGTTGGCAGATTCATTAAGTAAGCCTGGTCTTTGTTTCCCCTCACAGAGACCAGCACGGGTTCAGAAGGACAGCAGGGTACCACTGACAGGTTTCCACACCCAGTGGACCCAGCTGCTTGCTTTCTGATCATCAAGATACATCAATCATCCTCAAATACTCCTCCGAAATCCTGTAACCCAGCAGAGCAAATGTTAACTTGACTGACATATGCTTCCAAACCACTTTCCATTCCTTTCCAGTGATGTTAATTGTGTGGGTCATGTCTATGCAGCACAACAATCTCCATAACCCAGAAAAAGTAAAAAAGATTCTTTTTTTTGCATAGATCTTGCATCGTTATGAAGAATGTTTTGTTTTGGAAAAAGCAGAGTGGAAAAATGTGGGTGTATGCGTGGTAGGTGGCAGTAGGCCTGTGTACGTGCTAGCTAGCACAGGGACGTTTGTGAAGATAGATACGAGATTTGGCACCAAACTGAGTGGGTCCTAGGAATCTATCATCAACAAGGGTAAGAGAACCAAGGTGAGAAAGAAAGATTCCAAAGAGAAAGAATTTTAGCACCCATGATGCTAACTCTGTTAGCTGTTTATCTTTGCCACTGCCAATTTGAAACAATCGCCATGTGAGAAAAATGCTAACAACTAGTCTGTTTACAGAGCAGAGATATGGGCTCTATCAGCCTCTCTTAAAGGATACGAGAGCACGATTAGATAAGGGGTAAGAGTCTGAATGGCCTGCTAAGAACCCTGTGGGGGAGGTTTAGCAATGACTAAAGGAATGTGTCCAGATCCTCAGTAAGGTGGCGAAGGACAAGCCCCATCCTGATTGATTGAAGCTGAGGGTTGATGATGGCCAGGAAACCTATGGGATGGGCAACACCAGATAAAGCAAAAATTCTGTTTACACATTCTACCCGGAGCATTTAGAGAGCATCCAGAGCTCAAAAGCCATCTCTGTTTTGGCTAAGGCATTCACCTTGCTCTCAGAGGATTAGCAAAGGGTCAAGTGTGTGACACAGAGTTCAGGTAGCTCTTCTAAAGGAAAGAATGACCTTTCTACAAGTACTTGACTGGAACACCTTTCTCCTCTTCCTCTGATATAAATCTTGGTTTATAGCAGTGTTAATCCAAGCAATATAGTTAGCCATATTAGCAAAACTCTTACTGTATGAGTTTGTTGCTAATTATGAGGATACTTATATAGAATGCACTCAAGGGATCTTAGCCTCAAGGGATCTTAGCATCCTGAAAGAGTTGTACTGGGAACCCTCTCTAATAGATTTCCCCCACAGGTCAAACCAAATCTATGCTAAAATTGATCATTTTCTGTGCATAATCTGAGCCTTTAGACATTGTTACTAACAAATACCACTAATCATTTCTGACAACAACAGACCCTGATCAGTAAAGCAGTGGCCATCCATTGTTGCAATGGAACTTCATTTCTTTTAGTGGTAAATGGTTCTAATTGTCCAAAGAATCTCTGATTGGAACCTTTAGAAAAGAACAAATGATAAATGAAAGCAAATCTAACATAAAGTGTCTTCATAAGGTGTCAGGCCATGACGATGCACCAGATATATTTTACTGTGCCTTGATTCTCAGTGAATGTACTGGAAGAGATGAGCACCATTCTTCCAAAACATATTCCCTCAGTTGGTGTTTTGAAGGTGGTGGCGAGCACTGTCAAACACCTATGGGAGATTTTGGAACAGTGGTAATTAGGTAGATCTGTTGACTGTGAAGGCTGAAGCATCATTGATCACAATTTATAACATTTTTATGCATTTAGTTTCAGAGATGGGAATAATTAGGGGGCCATGATAGAGAAGGACCAATGGTGGAATATTGCCAGGATATAACCCTACTCTTTTACAATAATTGACCACAGAGAGTCAGGACCTTGGTTTAACATCTTATCCAAAAGCAGCCCCATCACTATCCTGGGACATTAGGCCCCACACAGACCACAGGGTGAGCACCCCCTGCTGGTCTCACTAATACCACCTCCAGCAGCAACCTTAGTTTTCCTCAGTAGATCTCCAATCCAGGTACTGGCCAGGCTTAACCTAGCTTCGCTTCAGTGGGAAACCAAGCAAGAACTGCAGGGTGATATTGGTCTGGCCATCTATTTTGTGAGGCGTAGTGCCTTGTAGATGGGGACAAGGGTCGTCCTGGACGAGACCAAGACTGTCTGTATAGAACTGCTCGAGCACTGTATAAAGGTGACCAGTCAGAAGACCATTGTATTGATTTGCAGTGATGTTTCCCTACAAGGAGACAAGAGCAGTCGTTTATCAGCTTCTGTAGTTTTTATGGGTTCCCCCAAAGAGAAAACCTACAAATCTTTCAGGGAGCTTTTGTTAGGGCCCTTGATACAAATATAGGCCTAAGAAAATCAGGGCCAGATGACTTGAGCCCAGTGTGTGAGAGCAGGGAATTCACCAACAGTGCAGCAGTATAGATGAAAAGCACTGAACTAAGCGATTTGTTTGAACCTCTCACATTAGGGTGCACTTAAGAATCATTGTGTGGCGAACAGGATGAAGATAAGAATTTTCTTCTGACAGCCCACACCTACCGCTTCCCTGTGATAACAACATCATACAAACGTTACACACCCCCAATCCTAAGACCCCTTGCCAAAAACTTACTTGCTGCCATGCCATGACATCTAACCATCATGCTTAGGTGAGGCTTTCCATAGCAATCATAGAAAAAGGCATCCATCTACCACTGTAAAGGGTTCTTTGGTTTGTCCCTTAATCATTATATTTATCTTAAAATGGATCAGGGTATGGTTTAGGTATGATCCTGGAGGGTTCTTTGAATGCATAATGGTTTTAGCATCCCAAAAAAGGTTCTACTTAAATCCTTTCATAAAGGCCTCCACATGACATAGAAAGGGTTCTTTTAGGGTCCTCTGAAAGCCCACTCAAAAAAGGCACTAAACTGTACCTTTCCTAGTTGATGGGGCAGTACACTTGTGTTATGAACCTTTAATATGCATCTTTCACCTATATGTATCTTTCTGGGTGAAAGAAACATACTAAAGGTACAAAAGGTGTATGCTGGAGTGTACCACCCAATGACAACGAAATGTACTGTTTAGTACCCGTATTTTTCAGAGATAGCTTTCTGGGATGGCTTAAACGTTCTATGTATAACCCTTTCAGGGTGAAAATAATCCATTATGAATCCAAAGACCCTACATATACTGATAGGTATAATAAGGTAATATTCAGCAGCTTGGTTAAAATGCTGACAATGTTCCCACAATCTCACCAGTGGTCTGGTGGGGAGTGGGGAAAGAAAACAACCACAGGTCATGGAGCAAAGTCTGGGTGGAGCACAGATGCTGGGTCTAAATGATAGGTCTGATATGAGGAAAAGGATGTCAGGGTTTTGCAGTCACTACTTCTGGAGATCATAAATGCATAGTCACAAATGACTGTAAATAAAGGAAGCCAGCATTCAACCTGAGATTGCAACTTCGGGTGAAA